AATAAAATGCTATAATGGACTAAAAGTAGACAATATTGAGGTATGTATTTTTTAAGAGGTTTGCTTATCCGTGCAGATATGTTGATATGATTCATAGATTTTGCCAGACCTGAACCTCAGTTGTGCATGATATCGAATCAAGTTCTGAACGTAATTCATGAACGATGGCATCATTTCCTCATTGATCTTAACCAGGCATGGTTGCAACCAGAAATTAGAGGAATTTGCCACAGTTATACACCAAAGGGTGCAGCTCTTAACAACTGCTGGGGTTCATCGATGGACTGTTCGTCCTGTTGCATCAGGTCGATTGCAACGTAACACTTTATTATGGAGACAAGAAAGTTCATGCTTTTAAGTTTCAATCTATTGCAACACCATCAGGCATGATAGCTAATCTTTATGGTCCAGTCGAAGGAAAAAGGCATGATAGTGCAATGCTTGCCCAATCTGGTATTCTCAACATGTTGCAGCAATATTCATTTAACATGCAAGGGGATATTTTATGCATATATGGTGATCCTGCATACACCCCTCAGACCACAATTACAGGGCCCTTTCCGAGGAGCTATAGTTACAGAACAACAAAAACAATGGAACAAATCTATGAGTCAAGTGAGAATAGCTGTTGAATGGTTGTTTGGTGACATTGTAAATTACTTAAAATTTTTGGACTTTAAAAAAAATTTGAAAGTACGTTTGAGTGCAGTTGGGAAAATTTATGTTGTGTGTGCTCTTATATAAAATGCAAGGGCATGCCTATATGGCACAACAACAGCAAAATACTTTGGCATTGACCCACCCACTAATACACAATTACTTCATGTAAATGATTAAAAAAATGCCATTGTTCATAAGAAATTGTTTCAAAACAGAACATTAATAAATGGATTTAAATGCAAAAATTTAAACATTTGCACAATAGTTGTAAAATATGAAAGACAGCATGAAAATGCATATACTTTTTTACATATTTACTTTAAAAAACTGAAACAATTGAGATTTGTAAGCAAGTTTACTTTGATCTGTTATCATCACAGCATAAACAAAAAGAGGAGGCTGTTCTCTGGTAATAGTCTATGTCATTGTTCATTTTCCAGAAGTTAACTTATTCAAAAGGGCCATCATGCATGAACTTTGCTCCTGCTGGTGCCTCATCAACTGCATGAATTGCTGTTGTTGAGTCCTTTGCAATTCGATAAGTTGATTCAGCACTGAATTATTTTGATTTTGGGCTACTTCCATTGCTTCTTTTCTAAGTTTCACGTCATTTTCTTTTAATTCATAGTCTTTGTCAGTTTGCTGCTGCATTATATCCAATTCCTTCTTCTTCAACTCAGCCTCTCTCTCACTTTTTTCTCTTAAATACAAAACCATGTCAGAACTACTACTGCGTTTTCTTTTGGCAGTTTTTACCTCAGAATCAGTAAACTCTGATCTCTTGCGAGTTTCACCAAACGATTCAAGGGATTTCTGTCTCATTTCAGCTGCCTGACTGGCTTCCTCCTCAAGTTTTCTTTTCTTTTCCTTTGACGCTCTTTCGTGCTCCATATCAGCTTCATGAAACAATGTAATAATTTCATCCATGCCAAGATCTACTTCATTCTCCTGGCATGATATTCCACTTGCAAGATTTTCATCACGTATTTTCTTCTTATGTTTCTTTTCAAGCACAGCATATCGATCACGTACAGACCTTTGAGTTACACGAAACGTTGGTGTTTCCAAAGAATTCAATGAAGTAGCTATCTTCATCCATGCTTCTCCTCTTTCAGGAGATGCTTTCTTACTGCTCCATGGTTGAATCAACAAAATTTCTCGTACAAATATCTGATCATGCAGCTCAGTCCATTTCATAGGAACACTAATTGAACAGAAAAATACGATTTCTTAGCAAAATAATGTAACCTCGAAGTATATTGCAGTTAAATAATTCATCCTTCAAAGATCTAATAAAAATATAAACAGAAATACAAAAGCAAGTGAAGCTTTGACTTAACATGATATTTTAAAACCTCAATACTTGTAAAATTATAATAAATAACTAGTTTTAATAGTTACACGAAACGTTGGTGTTTCCAAAGAATTCAATGAAGTAGCTATCTTCATCCATGCTTCTCCTCTTTCAGGAGATGCTTTCTTAGTGCTCCATGGTTGAATCAACAAAATTTCTCGTACAAATATCTGATCATGCAGCTCAGTCCATTTCATAGGAACACTAATTGAACAGAAAAATACGATTTCTTAGCAAAATAATGTGATATTTTAAAGCCTCAATACTTGTAAAATTATAATAAATAACATTTGATGCAGTTGCACTTCAGAACATCACAAAAAGGTTACTTAAAGTAATTTCTATACAATATTGTTTGTTTTCATTTACTAAACCTATGCAGACTTGAGTATTTTTGAAATTTCATATGAAACTCAATTACAGAAAATCCGTAAATATCCAGATTTAATATGTACTTTTTTAAAGAAACAAGTAAAAATCCTACAATTGTGGCGAAAAAAGCCATTGCCCATTGCATGAAAAGAAGCAAAATAGCAATGATAACAAATAAGCTAACTTCTCTCTCGTGAACTGTGGAGATGAACTATGATATACTTTTTTGTATAAACTAAAGAGTTTAAGAAAACGACGCACATCTGCATTCATACATGTGTAGCCGACATATAGCTCTTTCGTCGATAGTTATAAATACATCCTCGTAGGAGCCGATAACTGGAAAGCTAGGTTGACTCGCTGTTACGAATTGCAGGTTTTTACCTTGATTTTCATCAAAAAATTGCTTGCCGAATCCCAAATACACATACATTTTCCTCACTCTTTCCTCGGAGGAGTGGGAAATTGTGAAATTTTCGGAAAAGCGGTCAATTTCGGCAGCGGCAAAGGACGAAATCCGCCATTTTTGGCGTCATCAGATATCTAAGGCCGCGCTTGAGATAGCCGCTCTAGTTATTATAGAACTCAATGGTTCGCATTAGAGAGCTTAAGCGACTACGTTTTACTGGACGGCAACGGCAAGAGGAAGTTGTTTTTATTTCCGTTCTGCCAAATGGCTTTATGGTCAAAGTCAGCGGAGAGACGTGGGCTCATGAAATAAAATTTTTGTCGCCCACCCTGATTTGACCACCACAATTGCGAGTATAGAAAATATCAAAACTATTTATTTTCCTAACATAAACACTTTTTTAAAATTTTATTTATTAAACTGCCAACTTTTGTGGTTTGCGGATGCTGAAATAGCGACAGAAAAAGGAACATTTCTTGACTCCGGTAAGTAGCACAGTATTAGTTTTACTATTTTGTTTTTAACACGATACTTGAAGAGTGTTTCTACCAATAAGTTTTAATTTAAAGTTATTTTGGTCC